CCCAGCAGAAGGGATGCCTGAGCTGCGGGTCCTTTTCCCAAGGTACAGCTTGTTTTCTTGCTACACCGGCCCCGCACGAGCAGGGGGAGGAGCCGTGGCGGGGAGGGACGGTGGGTGGCAGCATCCCTGACCTCTCCCAGCTGGGGTCTCGCTGCCCTGATGGGGTGGCTACACCACGCCGGCATCATCCCCCAGGGAGATGTTTAATAATATTATTAATAATGTATTAGTAGTGGCACTGCGGAGCAGGCGGCTGTAAGGTTCATCCGCCAGTCTGGCTGTGGCTGGCAGCTGGGACTGCAGGCATCTGTGCGCCAAGCGCGTGGTTTTACATCAGCCGCGCAGCTCCAGCTATAACATTTTCTTCCTCTTTTAAATACAGAGGTCATTCTTATTTCTCCCGAAAGATCCATTATAGTGAAGGACTGCAGCACAATTAAAATTACCTCATTTATTTATTTATGACTAATAGTCCAAACAGTAGTATATCAGCAAACCAGATGTTCTAGGAGATTAGCACAGACGAAATCATGTATCAGCCCTGGTAGAACTCATACGAATTGAGTTATTTAGTTAGTAGTTTGGGTGGAAAATTCTATTTCATGAAAGCCTTTGAGGTTTTTAAATTTTGTTTTCATTGTGGGGAATGAAAGGGATGAAGATAACTTCTCAGATATTTTCACAAAAATGGAATTGTGGAAGTGGCCGTGTCCATCAGCTGCACTTTCCTACATGTGCTACACGCCGACCTGAAGCGCGGCACACCTCCGTGTCGTCTCTGCTCTGCCTGACGAGGAGCAAAGCCCCCAGTCACAGATCATCTGGAGCTTGGAGGAGCAACTCAACCTGGGTCTGAGCTAGTGTCGGAAGCTTCAGAGAAGCGGGAGGCTTCTCTTGCTCTGCCTTTTGGCTGATTTTCACTGTGATGACAAAAGCAGCGGTGGCGCGCACAGCACGCTGCCAGGCTGCAGAGAAATCCCTGCGAGGAAATGTGGTGTTTGTAAAAATGCCAAAAATACATCACAGAATGCCAGAATATTTTTATTTGGAACTTTTTTTTTTTTTTTAAATATAAGTTTTAACATATTTGCTTCATTTAAAAGAGCAAGGGAGTACTCCAATTCTTCCAAACCCAGAAATGCTAACCCAGCGTGCCGAGGGGCTCCCCGGGGCAGCTCAGGGACCAAAGGGGAATAACGCCGACACCACAAGGCGCGAATCCCTCAGCGGCGTTGGTGGGGCAGGAGTGCGGAGCAGCCACCCCAGGACACGACCATCCTGGAGCCCCGCTCGGCCGCACATCGGCCCGTGAGCATCCGCGTTGGGCTCTCGAGTGGCATCAACGTTTCTGTATGCTTTTTGCTTGCTTTCTGCTTGTCTTTTTTTTGGTTTGGTTTTTTTTTTTCATATTTGTTTTCTGTCTCTGCAGTGCTGACAGTCAGTCCTGTCTTCAGCGTGCAAAGAAAGCAAATCGAACTAACCCCAGTTGTCTGCGTGGGGCTCTACGCAGTAGCTGCGCTGGCAGGAGTATTTGAGATGGTGCTCATGAGAAACTTCTCCACAGGCAACAGGAGGCTGGAACCAGTTGGCCTCTGCTCTGATCAGTGCCAAAGCTCATTCACACCACCAAGTGCAGGTTTCATCTTTCTCCATCCGTGTCTTTCATCCCCAGTGTTTACTGGTTTGTGCTGGGCGGCTGTGGGAGGAGGCAAGCCTTCAGAAAGGGGGTCACAGACCCCCCCCCTTCGTTCCTCCGCCATCAGTCCTCCTGTCCCAGAGAGGAGGGAGAAGCCCCAAAGGATATTGCTATTTTTTCACAGAATCACAGAACAGTTTGGGTTGGAAGGGACCTTAAAGTTCATCTCGTCTCACCCCCTGCCCTGGGCAGGGACACCTCCCACCAGCCCAGGGTGCTCCAAGCCCCGTCCAACCTGGCTTTTTTTTGTTGTTGCTGTTGTGAAAGAAAAGCATTTTCTGATGGTGAGTGTTGCAGAGGAAGAAGAGATTCAAAATTGCATTCTGAGCGGGGTTTGGCTGGGGTTTGCATCCACAGCAGCTGCCGGACTCACCCACCCCGCTCCCCCCCCTCATCCCAACCAGCAACGCAGAAGGAGCTCCTTCCTTTGGGCAGCACCTTATTTATACCATAAAGGAGCACCATTGCTTTTAATTATTTTTTTGGGGAGGGGTGGGAGGTGGGATGGAGGGTAGGGATGATGCTCTTCCACGAGAAACAATGTAAAATCTGGTTTTGTGTTGAGGATGCTCCAACAGTGCGTCTTCTGCAAGTGGTGGCAAACGAGCATGTGGAAGCAGATGTTTGGGCGGGACTCGTGTTTTCTTTGTTTTGCTGCAGATTGTTTTCCCCAAGCTTTTAAAATGTTTTTCTGTAAGAGGGTGGTTTAAACTGCAGGCTAACAACTTAGTTGTCTTGGTTAGACACGCAGGTACCTCTGTGGCTGGTTATTTATTTATAAACTTGCCATCTCTGCTATAAAAAGATTTGTAATACCCCAATAATAAATGCATTCATCACCACATCTTCTGTAATCACTACAGTTCCTGAGCTGCTATTTGGCACTCATTAGCTGAAACTCCCATTCACCTATAATTTATGAGAAGCATACAATTATGTGTTATCACTACTTCAAGTGATTACTACACTGTATGTTTTTAAGATAATGGCATGAAACACTCCATGATGAATTACACCTCTCTAGGTAGCTTTGCTTCTGTCATTAACTCTATTATTTTCCTTAAACCAACCTGGAGAGAATTGCGTTGCAGGGTTGGTATTACCTTCTCAGAGAAGAGTCCCGGGTCAATACTGATCCAATAAAGGACACGACACAGCACACAATTATCTCCCGCCTTGTGTCTCCTGCCTACTCATAGTGCAGATGTTATTATGAGGAAATCCTAAAATCCAACTAGTCTTCACTTGGAAAAAATGCTGTTTTCATTAAGCCTTGTTAGTGAAAAAAGCCCATTCGGGAAGAACATGTGAAACACAAACCCTATGTATTTATTGAGAAACCCCGAAGCCCGGGTGGCTGCTCTGCCTGGAGAAGGGAGAGGTGGAGTTGTCACAGCTCTGCTGTGGAGCAGGAGCACCCACGCCTTTGCTTGCAGAGGTGTTTTTCTCTCCACGTTTGATGCATTTGGTAGTTACCTAAGCAGGGAGAGGTGACCTCACCGTTGCGTTGATTCTGTGGGCAGGCGGCGTAACACTTCCCAGCGTTAGGAGGCCATGGGATGGTTAGCAGGTTCACCGCACGGTCCCCGTGGCCAACCTGGCAGCAGGAGGGAGCTGGCGGCGTCAGGAGAAAGCCTTGAGGCAGCCAAGGAAGCCAAGACGGCCTCCTGCCCGCAGAGTGGCATCTCCCAGCCCTTGTCAAGCTGCAGACAACGGGGTCTCTGGGCAGCGCGGCGTGGAGAATCACCCAACAGAGCACAGATCTGGAGGCTTTTCTTACAGGTTTATTTTATCACTTATTTTAAATGACTGCTAAATAGCGCTTGGCCTTTGTCCCTGTCACACCTGCCTTTTGGTGTGGTCTTCTAAAACATTACCTTCCCTCAAAGTGTTCAAGGCCAGGTTGGACGGGGCTTGGAGCAACCTGGGCTGGGGGGAGGTGTCCCTGCCCAGGGTGGCACTGGGTGAGCTTCAAGGTTCCTTCCAACCCAAACCCTTCTGTGATTCTATGACTCTATGATTATGGATGCAAGCACAGAAATGCAAGCAGGGCATGTTTATATCAAGGAGGTCGTGGGAGCCGGGGTTTCCTTGCCCGGCCGCACATCCATCTCCTGGGGACCTCCCGCAGGGCCGCCTGGTGACCCCGGGTCCCTCTCCCGGCCTGGGAGCTCAAAACTTTGAGTGGATATTTGCGTTGAGTGTGGCGATTCCCCAGTTTTCCCCCAGATGGTCGGGGCTGCTCTCGGCTCCCCGGCGACGTCGGCTGCCCTCAAGGCTGCCTCCCTCTTTCTGTAATGCGCTGCAGCTGGTGTGAGCCCCGCGTCGCCATCATGCTGTATTCATTATCAAATTACGGCATTTATGTGGTTGTTGAGTGTAACAGCCATCAGACACTCATTATTGTATCCTGAGAGCGCGTTACCGTAATAGCCTCCCGTTGTAAGCCCTCATTTTTTTGTCAGAGCTTATTGCGTCAGTGAAGAAACCTTTGTTTCTTTTTAGCGTTAAAAATAAAGACTAATGTAACTGTTCTGAAAGTGAAATAACTGCAGTTAATTAGTATCATGGCTGTTTTAATTCAGTTGTATATTTCTGGGTGCTGAAATCCTTCAATAACATGCTGTGATATTGAAAATTTGGAAAGTAATACGGGATTTTCACGGTATTTCTCATCCTCTAGGCATGATCCTGTGCCTTGCCATCGTCTCAGAGCTTATGCTGCTTTTTATTCCCTTAATTTGTGTTTCGGTGCCGTGTGGCAAAAAAGCAGGGGAATAAAAATTGCCACCTGGGTTGGCTTTCACCCTCACAAGAAACAGCCGACTTACCTATTCCTAGAAAATAAACACAATTGGCTCTCAAATTTTCAAAGACCTCTCTGCCTTAAGAAAAGTGCAATATAATAACGACAAAACCATGCCATGAATTGTTCACTTACTTTTCTGCCTATGCAAATTCTTCTTCATAATTTCTGGAAGTCAGTGTTTCCAGATCGTAAATCTTCAGGAATTAATAAATATCCAATGCAGCAGCCGGCACCTTTTAAATATTTTAAATAATGTGATTAAGCTGGAAGGTACTCTCTAAGGCTGAAACTAAGACTATCAGAACCAATAATGTTGTGTGATATTGTTCAAAGAGAAAACGCTATGTACTTCCCTGAAATAATTAATGAATAACTAATAATTCTTAGCTTTACACTATGCTGTTTTGTTCTTTTTAATATGACAATGTGTCTGTGAAAAGGGGTGGGAATATTTTCATATAAATAAAAACAACAAACGAATTTAGTGCAGTTGCGATGCCAACACTTCCTCTGCCCTTGCCCATGGCAAAAGGCCACTTCTTTGTGGCAGGAGGTAAACACACATTATGGTCATCAGCGGTGGTTCTGATGAACGTTGGAGGCCAGGAAGGCCCTCTGAAAGTGCTCTCTTGGACGGATTGGATGGATTGGCAGGTGTTGAGGTGGAAACCCGTTTGGATTGAAATTGAAATAACATCAGATGCAGAGCAAATTACGTTTAAAATCTTGTAGAAGAGTAAACACTTTTGCTATTAATTACTAATATTCTACTGATTTTCTGTTTCAAATATTTCCAACTTAGGGACTAATCCGTGTTCTGTCTGCAGACAGATTTCCTATGGTACCTTGAAGCATCTCAAGGCAGCAGAGTTTATCAACTCAAGAAGCTGAAGGTGTGGAGTGAAAAAGTTTTCATTTGCTTTCTCTCCCAGTCGTTCTGTCCCGCTCTCTCTCTCTCCGTTCCGCCTTCTGGTTCTTCCGCAGGCTGGCAGGTACCTCGCACCTTTGTCACGCCCAACGGTAGAGCAGAAAATCTGATGGGTTCTCACAGTTAATAAACTGTACATCAACTCTCTGGAGCGGTGGAAGAGGCATAGGAGTAAAGCCGGGAGGTTAATTATGCTAATCACTCATGAAAATTCAGGTAGCATGCATCCCCATTTATTTCAGGCGCTTTGCCAGATAAAAAGCTCTGCTCCTTTTCGAAAAGTCCACAGGTCAGCAAATATTTAAAGAATTATCTTGGTTTCGCTCTAAGTTTGCAGATCTCCAGTTCTGAGCTGCTGTTTTAGAAAGCGATGTGATGGGCTGCTGAGAATCGCAGGAAGTAGAGGGTGGGAGGTTTGGAAGAACATCTTTATTTAAAGGAGGTAATTATGAATAAGTGTATTGATACGGTGCTCAATGAATTATTTGACTGCAAACACTGGGTAAAATGCCTCAGGCGTGTCTAGTCTGTTCGGCTTGGAAGGGGAGGAGGTGCTATGACATCGTTGGCTCCTGTGCTGTCAGTGCAACAGATTAATCACAGAATCACAGAATGGTTTGGGTTGGAAGGGACCTTAAAGACCACCCAGTGCCACCCCCTGCCCTGGGCAGGGCCACCTCCCCCCAGCCCAGGTTGCTCCAAGCCCCGTCCAACCTGGCCTTGAACACCTCCAGGGATGGGGCAGCCACAGCTTCTTGGGGCAACCGAGCTCACCGAGCAACTGGGGCTCACCGCCCTTATGGTCAAGAATTTCTTCCTTATATTTCATCTCAATCTCCCCTCTTCCAGTTTAAAACCATTCCCCCTCCTCCTATGGCTCCCCTCCCTGACCCAGAGTCCCTCCCCAGCTCTGCTGAAGCCCCTTTAGGCACTGGAAGGGGCTCTGAGGTCTCCCCTTTTTGGCCTTCTCCTCTCCAGGCTGACCCCCCCCAACTCTCCCAGCCTGTCCTCCCAGCAGAGGGGCTCCAGCCCTCCCAGCATCTCCGGGGCCTCCTCTGGCCCCACTCCAACAGCTCCATGTCTCTCCTCTGTTGGGGGCTCCAGAGCTGGACGCAGTACTCCAGGTGGGGTCTCACCGGAGCAGAGTAGAGGGGAATAAGCATCACCTCCCTTGAATCTAATCTGCTGTTTGCCCCAAGGTGCCTCAGAGCAGAGGCTGTGGGAGGGACGAGGTGAGGCTGGAGGCTCCCGTCATCCCTCGCACGGTGCTGCAGGAGCAAGGAAGGTTTTCCTGGAGGGATCCCCGGGGTGCTCTCCCCTGCCAGAGCACCTGCAGAGGAACTGGTCTCCTGTGGCATCCCCGTCCCGATGCTTGGAAGGAAACTGGCTTTGGAGACTCTCCATCCTCTGTAGGGGAGACACACTGTGTCTTTTGAACCTGAAGAGAAAACTTGCTCTAAAAAAAGATTTGGTGGCAGCTATGGTTCATGGTGCGTAAATAGCAGAACACCCGCAGAGCAAAGAGCAAAGGAAGAGGGCTCATTTGTGCGTGTTAACACCTCAAGGTGTAATCACAGCTCCTTCCACCACTGACGTGAAAGGGCACAGAACAACGGAGATGTTGGGGCTTTTGCTGGTTGTGGAGCAGGAAAATTGGTCCCAGGGCGGGAGGGAGGAGAAGGGGTTTGGAAGGGGCGGTGGGAGCAGAAGCTGCGGTGGACTTGGTGGACATGATGGGGCTGAGGCACGTGCCGGGAGGATGCAGGATGCTGCCGGGGAATTGCAGAGAAGCAAAGAAGAGTTTGCAGTGTTTGCAGCACTTCCAGTAAATGCCACAAAGTTCACACATGTTTGCTGTCAACTGGTGGCTGCACAGAGAGAAAGAAACCGATATCTGTATTGGCTCCGTTAGCACCACTTCTCCTTAATCCCGAAGTGCGCGGGGCCGTTCCGGGAGCGCAGGAGGGTTGGTGGTGGGTCCGGACTGTGCCGTGAGCAGGAGGGGGCGGCTCAGCACCGGGGGGGAGTCGGTGCTGGAGAGGTGCGGGTTCCCGGAGAGAAACCCCATCACTTCTCAGCTGAGTGCTGCTGTCATTCTTCAAGCAGAAAGCGTTTTTAAAGGGAGATCTCAGGACTTTGGCACCTAACGGAGATGCCAGGCACAGCAAAGCCGGTTCTTTATTTTAGATCTGTTTTGGCTGCCGTGAGACAAAGTTTTGGGGTGCCGATTTTAAACTCTGTTTTACAACGGCTGCTCGTCTCCCCTGCTTTACATAACTCCTGTTTATCAGACTTTCCAGAAACCGTCGTTGCAGATTTCTGTCCCATTTGTGACACAACAGTCTCCCTCTGCAGGATAATGTAACCTTTGCATGGTTCATAAATAAATAGTGTGGCTTATGGGGGGGATCTCAAGCTTTGGGCCCGGAGGCAGCCGGGGCTTGGTGGCCACCAGGCCAGTCACCGGCCATCGATGCATCAGCTCCCCGACGCTCTGAGACGGTCCTGTAAAGAAATAAAATGCGGTGATGATAATGAGCAGCTGCACAGGTTTTCTTTATGCAGGGTCCCATGCTTTGAGCAGCGGTAAACATGGGAAAACTGATTTTGAGGACAAAAGTAAAAGGATCACCTATAATTGTGCCTGAGTTATTTTTATCGTTCAGAGAATTTTCCTTAGTGTAGCAAACTTTTAAGATGTTATTCATAAGAAACCATGGAGAACCCGGAGAAAACATTTATCAGATCATCAACATCATGCAAAAGTTCTTTGCAGGTTTCTGGTGTGATTTTCCAGTTCTGGAGCTCGGATGTATTGTTTTATGTTCTGAGCTTCTGGGTGTTTTTCGAGGCTGAACCCTGACCCTGGCGGTTCCCTCTCCCCTTGCTGCGGAGCTCAAAGCCAATCTTCTTTAAAGCAGAAAAATTTTAGCAGTGCTGTTTTTCGGAAAGGATTTTCTATGTTCTGAAGAAAGTGGCTATAACTCAATGCCAAAACCAATTTCACTGGGGGAAAAAAAAAAAAAAGATGCTGTAGTAAGCAATAACAACTCTGTTAAGTGTTTGACATCTGCTTTGGTGAACACTCGCCCACTGCAGGGTGGTGGGGAGGGGGTGCTGGCATCCCCTGGGGGCGTTACAGACAGCTCCTCCGGCGCCCAAAGCACCACTTACATAAAACCATAAAAAATTTCAAGTCAAATTCTTGCAGGTTCTTAGGGAAAGGAAAGGATTGCAGGACTTTCTGTAAATGAGATAGAACTTTTAACCTGAACCGCAACAGGATTACTGGTTTTAGAGACACAGCCTACACTGAAATGAGTCATGTTCTGACCTGGAGTACATGTCTCACCATTTGGGGGATGTGTTTTGTGGAGGAAGCGTCTCCCACTATGTCACTTGGTGTTCTCAGAGATGTGTCTGAACAGCTCTGCAGCAGGGCACTGCGATAGCCCCCGGGTGGCATTTCCCAACCGTTTTTCCTGTGGCTCCTCATGCTCACCTCCCATGGTCCCACCTTGCTGGGAGTGGAGCAGAAACGATGAGGTGGGAGCACGAGATGGAGACCCATGGGGTGAACGGGTGTATCGGAAGGGTTCCACAGGTTGAATCGAGAGCAAATGTTATGAGGAACGGCTGAGGGCCCTGGGGGTGTTCAGCCTGGAGAGGAGGAGGCTGAGGGGAGACCTTCTCGCTCTCGACAGCTCCCTGAGAGGAGGGGGGGGCGGTCTCTGCTCCCAAGGAACAGGCAATGGGACAAGAGGGAACAGCCTCAAGTTTCCCCAGGGGAGGTTTAGGATGGCTATTAGGAGAAATGTCTTCCCGGAAAGGGCTGTCCAGCCCTGGCACAGGCTGCCCAGGGCAGTGGTGGAGTCGCCATCCCTGGAGGTGTTTAACAGAGGGGCAGCCGTGGTGCTGAGGGACGTGGGTTAGTGGTGGGCTTGGCAGTGTGGGGTTAACGGTTGGACTTGATGATCTTAAAGGTCCCTTCCAACCTAGACGATTCTGTGATTCTACGATTCTATGAATTTACCTACAGATTTATAAGACAATTTTTAACTTACCTTCTTAGCTTTGCAATCCAGGTCAAGTGAGTAACTGGACCAGAAGTGAGTGTAATGGGAGCTTTTGGTCCTACTTGACTGAAGATTTTTTTCATTTGAAGGAGCACCCAAGTACTATCCAGGCGTAACCCCGGAGAGTGTAGTGAAGGCTGTTTGGAGACAGGCGCGTGCCAAACATCCATGTGGTACGCGGAATGTGGAAAGCTTTGTGCGCAGTCCCGTGCTGTTCGTTCCAGGGGCAGCGAGGTGGGAGCTCCAACCCTGCCTGCGCTGCCAAGGCTCTTGGAAGAAGAGGCTGTGTGCAGTTTTAATTAACCAATGGAGAAGAACTGTTTTTTTCAAAGATTAATAGGTCTATGTTTTAATTATGGGGAAATAATAGACTAGAGAGCTAGGAAAGTGGGAGGTATCAAAAAGCAAGGATTAAAAACTTTAAGGAAGCTGGGTGAGGCTGTATTTTTCTGTACTTACAGAAGATCATCCCCATTAATAATGATCGGAAAAATAATAAGATACCTCAGCCCTATATGAAAGCTAACATTAAAATCTATTTTTTATGCTTGTTGAGTAGAGAATTTCTGATTACAATCATCAGTTAAAAGATAAATTGTTCTTTTTTCCATTCTAAGTTTAAAAATAGAATAATTATCTTCTGAGTTCAGTTCTAGTTTAATCAATACTTTTCCCAGCAAAGTAAAGGTAAAAAGAGCAAAAGTCACTTTTATTTAGTGATTGTTATGCTTTCTTTAATTGTGCTACAGTGTTATTGTTAAATTCTAAAAATAATTTGCCCTACACATAGATTTCAAAAGTTACGTTGCAGAAAATGCGGCCGTGATGCGCAGGAAGTTTAAAAATAAACAAAATTTAAGGAAAGAAAGGAAAGGGGGGGGGGAGGCCACTAATATTTGCAGTTTCTACTGGTTGTCATCTTTTCAACAGATTATTTCCCATACATTACCGTTAGAAATGTTTTACTGTGGGACTTGAATTGTCCACCAGTGATCAGCAACTGTGGACCTTCAGTG